TTTGGCCATCTCATGAGAAGAGAAGACTCCCTGGAAAAGACCCTGATGTTGGGAAAGTGTGACGGCAAGAGGAGAAGGGGATGACAGAGGACGAGATGGCTGGACAGTGTCTGCAAAGCAACCAACATGAATTTGACCCAACTCCGGGAGGCAGTAGAAGACAGGAGGGCCTGGCGTGCTCTGGTCCTTGGGGTCACAAAGCGTCAGACAGGACTAAATGACTAAACAGCAACAACATCCCTTGTGTTGCAGAGTTTTACCTAAGCCCTTTCCCAGCCATTACTTAGCCCCATAGTTTTCAGGGAATTTGTAAAAGAAAGGGCTGAAAGGGTGTGCAATCACATATTCAAGGATGTTGGTGAAACACCAGCTCTGGTTAGGGCTCACAATCAGTTTATGAAAAGGGCAATAATATGGTTGACAGGAAACTTTATTAAGCTCTAGTGTATGCATTTTTTTCAAGTGAAGATGTGCTTGTTACTGGAATAAGAAACAGCTTTCTCCTGCCCTGTGATGCCCAGCATTGTTTGACCTTATCTATCTCCATTTCTTCTTTTGATCATTCTTTTTCCTTTTCCATCTTCTTAATATTTGGATGTCAATGATAGTGTGTGTGTGTGAGAGTGAGAGAGAGAGAGAGAGAGAGACTGAGGACTTGCTGAGAGCCATGTTCTCATACAATGAGAGAAAGAGAGATGAGGGGGAGGCTAATGATGTTGTACATCTAAGTGAGTAAGAGATTGTGACAGTACTACATCTTTATTCAGAAGTAAGTCACATTGAATTCATTTAATCCTAGATCTTTCCCACTTAACATATTCTCGAATAAGCACAGAAATGTAAAGTGTTTTATTACACTCGTTTCTCTAAGAACTTTAAAGCTTAAAGATGTAACCTGTACCTGCAATTTTTCTTGTCAACTGCTGTGAGATTTTTCATTCTGCACAACAATAAAGAGGCCAGCACTTTTTTATCAGCAGCACCAGCAAAACAATAACAAAAAACCCTTATGTTCTTCTTGCAGAAAACCCTCACATTTCTCATATTATTTGTATTTTGTGCAAAAATACAAGATTTCATATGCCAAATATAAGATCTTTGCACAAAAAACACTTATATGAATCTGTTTTTTCGTATTCCAAAACACTATGAAAATGCAAACAAACAAACAAACAAAAAAACTCTCATCGTTTTCCAAAACACTATGAAAATGCACACAAACAAACAAACAAACAAAAAAACTCTCATAATCTTGATAGTAGGAAGAAAATGTTAAAAAAATGTTTTCACCAGTGGGAACAAGAAGAGTGTTGTTTCTGTTTTATTTTCCTAACCTCCGCATGAGATTGCCTTGGCTTGGAGAGAGAGTGAGACCTGCTCAAGGTTGCATGCCAAGCTTCATGGTCAAGTGAAGTTTGATATTGTGGGGGACAAGGGTGTCTGTATGTGACAGTGACAGAGTGGAGGGTATGGATCTTTGTTGCCCCAGGGGGGCTATAGAGCCAGCAAACCCTCCCTCCCATTAGCTGTATCCTCACCTGATCATGGAGCCCTATATACCGTGTTTTCCCCAAAACAGGGTAAATATGATAGTCATATACATAGCTCCACTCTTATGTCTGAGGAAGTGGACTTGATCTACAAAAGCTCGCATTCAAGTACAGTTGTTAGTCTTCCAGGTGGCACAATTCTTTTCTCTCTTTTACTTTCTTCCTTTCTTTTTGATACAGCCCCTCCACCTGGCTCTCTTGCACTCAGATCCATGCTTATTATCAGAACAGTGCCAGAGCTGAAACCTAGTTATAGACAAAGGACAAAATTAGTAGTGGGCTTGGTTTGCATACTATGCACATAGATGCCATCATAGACAAATTAGGTGGACTGGATTTGGGGAACTGGAATATGACAGTCCTACCTGCTTGTTTTTACTTCAAATTACTGCCCTAGGTAATAGCTCGTCTCCCTGTGCTTTTGCAGAAGTGATTTTTTTTAAATGGTACTCTTATCCATTTTGTTGCAGTGAAGTATGAGGTCACCAAAGAAGTTGCTGCCTTTTGTTTCAGGATATTAATAACATTCACTAGGATCCACTCAGAAAGATATTGTCTTCTGTCATGTGCATTTCTCAATGGAATAACCTCAGGTTTAAGGAAAATGTTGTCATTCCATCTCTGGCCATGCTGGCCTCCAATCAAATTGTTAAAATTGGATCCTTTGATCTAAAAACATCAGTCTCGTTAGAGGTTGCAGGTTAAATACAATCAACTTGAAATCAAAGAACTGAAATTCTATTTGCTTAATGTGCTCTTATTTAAAATAAGGTATTTTGAAAAAGAGGGTTGTAACATTTAGTAACCAGCAATTTAGTCAAGTATCAAAGTATCTCAAGTTTGGGGAAGGAGATTTTAATGTGATTAAATGTTTCCCAATTTTGGTGCAATAAAACATAGTTTATTAGACTGGAAGTTGGGATGGTGGCTATGTACTACCTTCTCTAGTCTTTTGTATACCTTGATGCAACAAGTGTGAGGATATGCCCATGCTATCTCAAGGACCACATCTTCCTTTATCAGCCTGTCCAGTGTTCCATCAGGAGAGGCCTTTTTCTCGGTCCCACAATACTTGGTGGGGACATGGGAGAGGCCTTCTCTTTTGCTGCTCCCAGACTTTGAAACTCCCTCCCACAGAAATCTAAGTTGGCCCCATCTTTGCTATCCTTCCGCAAGCAGGTGAAGATCCTTCTCTTCAGCCAAGCTTTCCCTTAATGGATGGGCTGTCTGAATGAAGGTTTTAAATGGACCTTAATCCTTTGAATGTGGTTTTGATGCTGTTTTTGTTTACTGTCTTTTAGTGTGATATTTGATCCTTTTTAGTCATTGTATACTTACTGTTTTTATCTTTAAATATTGTATTTTAATGATGTAAGGCACCTTGGTCCTTCTTAAGCAGAAAAGTGGGGTAAAATCTTTTAAATGAAATTAAATTAGTAAGTCAGCAATTAGTCAATCATAGTATCCCATTAAGTATAAATTTGTTAGTTAGCCTCTTGTTGAAGCTCTGGCTGCAAATTCGACCTACAATTCATGGTTTGATTGTAGTTTGCAAGCTAGCATTATAGTCAGAGCCACTGTTTCTTAGCTCAATCATGACAGTAAACTGGTTCAACAAACTCCATAAGTCTTGTAGAAAGGAGGAGGGGAATGCAAAGGCACAATATTTCTTTTTAGTCCAATTACACCGTATCTTATTGAGCTGAGATTGTTATGTCTGATGAACC